GCATTTCCCAAGGATTCTCTTGCAGGAACCCACCCCGTTACTCCTAGCTACCTCCTTGCACACGATGCCACACTCCTTCCGTGGGATGGCCTCGTCTTATTCCCTTTTCCCTCCCTTCTAACGCGTCATCAGTGGCAAATATAGCAACCAGAGCTGTGCAGAGTTGTACTTTGGGCAACCATTCCTAGGCTGGGCATGTTAGGGATCACGGGGGCTCTCGTCCCTCTGACACAACTCTACACAGCTCAGGGTCTGACCTTTCACTGTCCATCTTCCTGTCTTCTTTTCTGGTTGGGTAATGTTTAGGGACTTAACTTGGACTCTTTTCCCCCATCATTGGGCAGCCAGGTTGACTCCCACCACTCCCTCTGCCCCCTGGCTCATGATTGGGGGGCTGCATGGATCCATCCAACCCTAATCCTGCCCACCCTCAACCTCCTGGTTAATTTCTGGGATGGTAGTTTGGGTCCCTTAGAGTAGACCTCTGCCCACCCTCAGTCTCCTGGGTCACAGGAGAGCCTGGTGTGCTGTGGTCCATGGGGTCACAAAGAGTCGGGCATGACTAAACGACTAAACGACAAGGGGGCTAGACCGGCAGAAGGATAGTTGTGCTGGCAAAAGGGACTTATGCCAAATCCAAACCTTCTTCAGGAAGCTTATCTGGGACTTTGGATTCTGCCCTAAATTGGTGCATTAATCCTATTTTGATATTGCAATCGTCTACTGATAGCACAATAAAGATTTTGTTTGCCTTATATTTAATGGGAAAATAATCCATTGAAAATTAAGGCCAGATGTGACTAACGCTTCCCTAGCTTCCCATCAACCACTGGAACTCAATCTATCATGGGACAAAAGGAGAAGGGATAGAGCCACCCTCGTAGTTTATCCCTTATGGCGACATTTCAGCAAAGGCTGGTGTCTTCAAGGTCAGTGCTGTGGCCAATCTGCTCTGGATTTTAGTTTAGATATTGAAAGCCCTGTGTGAGATACTAAGCTCCTTTTGACAAGAAGGTTTCCTACTTCGGATGGCTCTTGTAAAGTTCAGAATAACATCCAGAGCAGGATCACCGACATATTGACCTCTCGAAGCCATCAACCTCCACTATGTCATTCAGTTGGGGCAAGAGCCTATATTTTTCTATTGGCCGTCTCTTTCTCTCTGCATTTTCTCATCATCCAACAGCAGTGCCGTGTTGCTCGCTTAAATGATGAAAGGAGTCCACTGGTTCTTTCCAGGCCTCTCTTGGCGTTAGGCTCGTCGACCGTCTTTCCTGGCTATGACGAGTGACTCGAGTAGATATAGGTGGGAGAAGGGGTTCTGCCAGGTATCGAGGCTCTAAACCGTTTAGGGCAGGGGTCATCAACCCCCGGTCCGCGGCCCACTGCAGGTCCGCGGGCTT